GAAAAGTTACAAAAGAAAACTCACGTGCAAAATTCCATTTCTCAGGGAATGGAACATTTTCTTCACCCACTAAACCAACAGTGGGGGCAGCAACAAACCTGGCGTACCAGCCACGGTCCTTATCGTCCTCAGGGCTAACCAAAACTCTTTTGCTTCTCGCTACTAAAGTAAAAATTCCTTGACGGAAGAGTTTGGGAGAATAAAGATGAATTAAATGAAAGAAAGTAAAAGGCATGCCAGCCATGTTGGCCAAATGCCTCAAACAAGCAACTGCCCTCCACACGATAGGGGTAATTTGACCTAAGCAAACATCGAAAAAACGACAAAATTCGAGGATAATCGGGTCAATAGGAGGTTTGAAATTCAAAGTAAAAGGGTATGTATATACGAAAGAAAACCCCATTAAATAAGAAGTGATTCTTTGGTTTGCATTAGGAATTATAATGGAAAAATCATGACTCCAGTGGCAATCCCTACGAACCACGGAAATCAAACCTTTAGTGATCTGAGTTGGGTAAATATCAGCACGATCTAAAGAAGACATAGAAGAAACTTGGTTTCTAATAGACTCTCTATCATTGTAGAAAGATAGTTCAGCAGGAACAATCTCATCTACCAAAGGTTCACGAAGAGGTTCAGTGGGTTCTTTACCCCTAGATGAAGACCTTTGAGAAAGAGAACCTCTAGTTCTAGAAGGGGGTGTAGAACTTTTTGAAGGAAGAGAAGTGCCTCGCGATGATGAGGACCCTAAACTACGAAGTCTACCTCCTCTCCTACTCCTAACAGGAGCAAGAGGAAGGTTGTCAACGATGGGATCTCTCCTAGGGTTAGGGTTTGAAGAAGACATAGTAGTACGAGGAAGAAGGAAACAAGAATTGAATGTTCTAAAACTTTTTGTGAGAAAGACAAAGGTGAAAAAGTTTATTTATACTCAGAAGCAACTGTCAAAGGAAAGGGTGTAACGATGGCAACGTCATAATGAGAACTGTCGTTTCGTAATTGGTGAAGCCGTAAAAAAGCCTTAAAAAACGCTGAAAAGTTGCAGAACCAACCAGGAGATGCCACGTGTTGCGAACATTAAATGGAAGTGACAAATGAAGCGTCAGTTCCAAACAAGAATTAATGGCGGCAAATATTCCCGCTTTAATAAAATCCACTTTCCAAATATTCTATTGATGAATAAATGGCAGGTAGGGGGACTATCTGTATTGAGAAAAATTAAGTTCATATATAGAATTGATTGAAAAGTGACATGTCACGACACGTAGACTGGTCAAAGGATGACAATTGGCAAAGAATAGTTAAAGATGCACGAGCTACAACAGGCACGGGCAGGAATTCAAGAAATTCAAGAAAGATAAATGCTCGGACCTCTTCATGATCGAAGGTCGAACTAAGAGAATGAACCTGATAGCAAAAAAGGGTATAGATACGTATTATCAGTAATCAATAGGCATTAATTACAGAAAACGTTAGAAAATCTGTATTAAATCAAAATATGATTACCATTTATAACATTACATTAAATGCCATTAATTGTCAATAATGTCTCTATTACGAGAGAAACGAAACGTATTACCTAGAGATAGTTATAAAAAGGGGAAAGCTGATCATTTGTAAGGACACGAAAGACTATTAGAATATACATATTTACTTTACTTTCTATTCAGCTATTCTTTACATCATTTATTCCTATTTTTATTTAATTATCAGTAACCCGAGTTCTCCTTGAAATAAGCTTTGATCAAAATCCTTATTTTTGGTTAAACAACCCTACTTGGAACAAAATAAAAAGCCATGCACTTTTAGCTGGATGAAAAACAGCACCATACAGCCAACTAAAAAAAAAAAAAAAAAAGGCTACAACCCACACTTATATGTACATACTACAGAGACCAAAATAAGTAGAAGTAAAGAGGAAAAGCACTCTCCAAAAATGAACGTGTGCAGGGTATAAAACATATAATTAAAGAGAAGACTATTCTCTCCTGACTACATATCTCTATAGTGGTATCTCGCGCTGCACATTTTGGTGCAAATAGCCAGGGCTTGCCGGCATATCTTGATCGTGGTGATGCTCCTCCACAACAGTGTCATGGGGATGCTCCTTCAAAGACTCAAACAACTCAACAATTCTAGTAACTGGCACTGATGTGTCCTCTTGCTGCTCCTTTACAGCTTCATCTGCCTCAATTCTCTCCACATTACCTGCATATAATGTATAGTCACTTACAACTAAGCATGTGTCTTTTTGTCCGGAAACATAATTATATACCACTACTTTAAGAAAAAGCACACGTTTCTAAATTTTGGAAACAATTTAACTTGAATTTCTTATTTTATTTTAGTGACCAACTTTTATAACTTTAAGACCACATCTTTTAAAAATTGTATGATCACGCTAATATTATGGTATATTTGTGACCACAGTGCCTTCATTTCTTCTTCATGTCCAGCAAACTATGTCATAAAAATTGAAACTGAAAAGTTGAAGTATATACGTGAAAATTAATTACTAGAACTTCAACAAGTATCAAGTGCTGAACCAATAAATGCAAGAATTTACTGATAAGAATCAGGGGCGACCCTTCCATAAAGGAAGTAAAGCAACCGCTTTAGGCCCCATATTTGTGGGGGGCTATTTTTTGTTACACCTAATAGACTATGTATAAGTTTAAAAAAGAGTTCTGTAAAATGAAAAAGTTTGATTTCTTTCTTTAACCAATATAGAGAAGAAGAAGGATTTGCAACTGCTCTTATTTATACCAAGGAAATTGCACTTGAAATGAATATCGAACCTGAATTTCGTAAGAAACGTGTGATATACAGGAAGTAACAATTTGATGCGAATGTTGATAATGAAATCTCAAAATCTTTCGAAGAGTCCTTTAGAGTTGATTACTTTTATACATAATAGACAAGGCTATTTTTTCACTTCAAAATAGATTTGAACAATCCGAATCATATGAAAATATTTTTGGTTTTCTATTTCGCAGTAAAACTAAGATCACTAAATGTTGGAAATTTGAAAAAAATATTACCTTAATCTTGAAGGTTCCTTAAAGCATAATAATCAATTCGATATTGATGGTTTAAATTTATTTTCTCAATTAAAAGTATTAAGAAAAATAGTACAATTAGAAGATAACAGTTTAATTGATACACTTAATAAATAAAAAAAGATTCAATTTTCTTCCAAATATCTAAAATGCTTATGGAATAATGTTCATAACTCATGTTACCGTAGCTTAAGCGGAAAGAAATTTTCAAAATTAAAATTGACAAAATCTTACCTAAGAAGAACAATGTCACAAGAAAAGTTAAATAAATTAGCTATATTGTCAATTGAGAAATATAATTAATTATAAGAAAATTATTAATAACTTTATATCTAAGAAAAAGTTAAAAAAAATAGACTTCAAATAAATAATTTTAAAAAAAATTAAAAGTTAAGGCCCCTCGTAAAATTTGAGTTTAGGCCAAAAAAATTTGTCCTCGATAAGAATATAAATATTGAACGTGTCAAATTTAAATCGACATCTAGTACCTGCCACTTCAGTGTCCAGCTGCTGCTGCTCCTTCTCTACAGTCTCGTCCGGCTGAATCATTTTATCCACAGTAACCACCGGCACATCAGTATCGCTATAGTCTACACCCGTTTTCCTTCCGCCTTTAATTAGTGAACGATAGACCAGAACAAACGAAGATAATCCTGCAAAAGCCATAGTCCCAGCCACCCCAAAGCCTGCGATGGCGAATGCGAAAATACAAGCAGCACCAAACAACAGAGGGCTAACTATCAAGAGCAGCGGAGAAGTTACGACGAGAATTATCAAAGAAGTCACAAAGCTGAAACCCATCATCCCCAAAAGTGGGCCTTCTACTGCTATTCCAGCCAGTGTTGCCAGAATCACCGTCCTTCTGCTCACTTGCTGGGGATTTACAGTATCAATCATTTGCCCGTTTTCAGCCATACTCTTTCTTGTTTTATTATAGTTCTCGATTCTTGTTGATTGCAGTGGCACCAATACTTCGACGGAAGGTAAGTAATATATGATGCTCTCAATAGCAAAAGGATTTGAAACAGGACACGTGTCTGCTTCTTCCTATACGTGGTGCATATATAGCAAGTAGCCTCGTCCTTTTTGGACTTATCGCCAGCAATTGGACTTTATAGGTGCAAAGGTACGGTTTTTGGGATAGGATTCGCTGACCAGAGCATACTTTGATTACTTATCCAATGTAAGAATACGCAAATAGGCGGCAACATATAAAACAAATCCTCCTTCAATTCTAAGTTATGCAACACTTTTGTCTTATTCTATTTATTAAATTAATTTTTTAATTTTAAAATTTTTATATTACTTTTACTCAATAAAATTATTTATAGCAACACAACTATTCATGATAAGTTATAATTTTCAATTATCTTTCTTCATTGCCTGAACATAATCTCTTCTTTCCGTCAAACAAAGCCACAAGAAGTAGGACAGAGAGAATAACAAAAAGAAAAATAATCAACAAGACATTTTACTATTCGGAGGTACTAAAAATTTTGTACTTTATCATGGCCGTCAAAGTTTATTGGTCTTTTTGACAAAAGGAATTTACAGAGAAGAAAGTACTTATGCGCGGTTAAGGCAGGCATGTGGGCCGGTTAGGCCCAGGCCCAGTCCAGGCCCGTTTAAGCCCCGAATCAGGGGTGGATCTGTTAGGTGGGTGGGTTAATTGAAGAAGCCCGTGAGAACCGGACCATTTGGGCCCGGGACCGATTGCTTTCAACCGATCCTAAACGGGCTCAAACGGGCCCAACGGCTATTTATTTTTCTTTAAAAAAAAATCTAAAATTTTTTTTAGCCGTTGCAACATTTAAAAAATGGTCGTTGGCCTGCAAAAATAGCCTTTTGGGCTTTCTATAATTAGCCCGTTTGGGCTTTTTATAATTAACCCCAAACTTTTTATAATTACACTTTTTCTTTATTTTCAACTATAAATACCCCTCATTCTTTCATTTTTCTCACAAAATCATCAATCTCTCTCTAATTTTCTTCTATAATTGGTTACTTTATTGTTGCAATTTGTGTGAAAATTTGTGAAGTTGGTGAATTGAAGTATTCAAGTCTTCAAGTCTTCAACGATAATTAATTTTTAACAAGTTGTTCGTCAATTCGGTAAACTCGTTCCAACTCTTAAGTTTTAATATTATAGTTTTGTTTTGTTTTATTTACTTTTGTATTGTTTGATTAATTAAGATGGATTTTTCGTTAAAAAAATGTTTACTAAAAATAAGGGAAAATCTTAGAGTGGTGAATCTAGTGGCCAATCTATTCTTTCTCCAATTCCCCGGGCTCCCCTACCCAAATCTCATACCCGCCCTCCACTTGCTCCTGTTCTTGATAGTGATAATACTTTATTACAATTTATTGAGAGTCAATATGTGCATAATGTTGGAGGTGGTGAACACTTAGATCATGAATATATGAATTCTCTTTATGGTAATCCAACTATTGATGAAGATAATGAGCAGGAAATAGATTTGGATGAAACGCAACCGGATGACGATACATTCACTAGTCATGTTGCTAAAGTTAACCCAACTAATCCAAATAATGCCCCGTCTGACCCCCCCCCCCCCTTGTTACTACCCCTACTTTTTCTAGACAACCTTCTAAACGGGCCGAAACATCTCTTGTTTGGCCATTTTTAATTCAAATAAGAGAAAAAAAATAAAGCTAAGTGTAAAACTTGTGGCAAAGAGTTAGCTTTTAACTATGTTACTCGGGAGGGGGGGGGGAGTTTGAGGAGACACATATTGATACACCCTCAAGATAAAGTTAAATATCTTCTTATGAAAGTTGCGGCCGAGGGGACAAGTGTACCTAGTCAGCCTGACCCTAGTACCGGATCAAATCAATTTCAACCGGGAATTAACACTATTACCGATGGTATTTTATATTATGATCCAAGAAAAGATAGGGAAGAATTGGCAAAAATGATTACTGTTATGTGCTTACCCTACAGCTTTCCTTCTAACCCTCATTTTGTGCATTATATTAGAAAAGTTTTTAATCCTACTTATAAAGGATGACCTCGCACAACCGTAAAGAGCGATATTTATAAATATAAACATGAATATCAACAATATTTGCGATATTTATTTACTCATATTAATTGTCGCGTTGCTATTACTACTGTTATTCGTAGAAGTGGTAATGACTGGGATTATCTTACTGTTACCAGTCATTGGATTGATGAAGATTGGATAATGCAAAAGCGCATTATCGCTTATAAAATAATTAATTCACGTCACACAGGGCGGTTTATTTCTAGCACTGTTACGGATATTTGTAGATATTTTTGCATTAGTGATAAAATAATGTCAATTTCAATGGATAATGCTACTAGTAACACTAATGTTGTAGCCTTGCTTACCACAACACTAAATCCTGCATTTAGTAACATTTTTCATGTTAGATGTATTTGTCATATTTATCATTTAATTGTGGGTGATGGTATGAGAATTTTAAATGTTGAAATTGAAAAGGTTAAAATGGCTCTTCACTGGCTTTTTTATTCAAACCGTAGAAGTAGACTTAGAGAATATTTTAAAAGATGCAATGAATTTGGCATAAGAGAAAGAAAGGTTCCTAAACCTTGTCCAACTAGATGGAATTACATGTATGAAAGTTTAGTTGTTGCATATGAATATAGAAATCCCTAAACTCAACGTTTAATGCTCATGTATGTGATGATGATGCGCACCTTACAAATGCGGATTGGGCTAATGTTAGAATGCTTGTAGATTTTTTAGAAAAATTTCATATTGCTACAAATGAATTTTCTGGGCAATATTATCATACTATTTCTAACTGTTTAGTTTATCTTGCAGAACTTGCAAATTTGTTTGCTTATTTTTCAGAGGGTGAGGAAATTTATGAACAAGCTATTGATTTTATGAGAAAGAAATTTAAAAAATATTTTTTCCCTATTCCCCATATTTATGGTGTTGCTGCATTGTTAAATCCTACTATGAAATTAGGAGGTCCTCAATATTGGCATCAATCTATTTATAATGGTTTAGCACTTGAAGATGAGGAGTTTTCTACACTTTCGGACGCACAAGCCTCAATTAAAATAAATGCTCAAACTATTTATAGTGCTTATCAAATTGCAATAGATAATGCTAGACCAAATGTTCCAACTCCTTCTTCTTCTAGTTCTCAATCATCTAAAAGAACTGCGGGAGTAAGAGCACTTACTGCTTGGGCCGGGTTCAGGGATTCTCAAGGTTCTAGCACTAGTGATTATTTACAACTAAATGAGCTTGAAGTTTATTTGTCACAGGGAATTGAGGAAGTGAATCCTGACGGCTCATTTAATCTTTTGGAAAGGTGGAAGGACAAAGAAAAACACTTTTCGATTCTTTCAAGGATGGCCCGAGATATTTTAACCATTCGAGCTTCAACAGTGGCATCGAAGAGCGCTTTCAGTCAAGCAAGACTTCAACTCGGTGATTATAGTGCGTCTATGAGGGAGAGCTTGGAAAAATCAGTACTTCTCAAAGATTGGATCCGTTCGGAACGAAGAAAGTTTGGACTTGCTGAATCACAACCAGAGGTAGACGAAGCTTACGAAGAAATGCTAGCTGAACTTGCGGAGGATGCAGCTTCGCCCGGAAGCGGTGATGAACAAGCTTCTTTTCTGCCACCACCAACGGAAATTCCTCCAAACCTTGAAGGATTTATGAAATTTGTAAGAGATACCATATAAAATTAATATGTAACTTGTATTTTGGCACATCTTGATTAGTTTCTTTTTCTTCTCAATGGTGGTATTAGCACCTTGTTGTGCTCATTCCATGGACAGAGGAAGACTAAGAAAGATATTGCCATGTGCTTGTTAATGCTATAATAAAATTATAATGCATTGCTTTGAATATCTCTTTACAATGTTTTGTGTTTAAATTTGATCACAATTCTATAATATAGTTTTTACAAGGAATTGCCTTAGATAACAAATCTTACAAAAAAAAAAATAAGAACCGTTGGGCCCACTTAGGCCCGGGACCGGCCCACTTAGCTCGGGACCATTAGTTCGTGGTCCTGGTCCGGTTCCTACCAAAAGCCCACGAAGCCCGGGACCATTTAAGCCCAGCCCACGAAGTCCGGGCCCACTTAGGACCGGCCCATGAGGCCCGTTTAGGGCCGGGCCCCGGCCCACCTGCCAGCTCTATGCGCGGTGTTGTGAATATCAGTACATACATACACACATACTATGGCTGAAGCTGAAAACGGATGGTTCTCAGTTAGAGGCGAAGCCACCAGAATTTAATTTTTATGAGTTCGGGATTCAGGCGCTTCAAATTACTGGATTCTAAATTAATAATATAATTCGGAATATCATCCGAACCGACTAACAACCAAGTGAACAAGAATTCGTTGGTATAAGCGCCCCAATAAAATATCAAAATTTAGACCAAAAGATTGTAGTAATAGAGAAGCGAAGCCAAGAACACCAAAAAAAAAAAAAAGAGAAAAGTTGTATGCTTTGGAAGAAGCTTGTATAGTTTGGGCGAGAACGGGAACTCCTAGAGCTGCTGAATCGCCTAATCCGGCTCTTACCTCCTACCATCGCCCACCTCTAATCAGCATACCAATACACCGAAGCACACATTCTCCTTCCCACTTCCACCTTCTTTGTATTGATACTCAGTCAAGATTCTATGCTAGTGTCACTTTTTTTTTCCCAAGGTTCTTTTACGGGCATGCCTCATTTTTTTCTTTACTTGTAGAAGTGGATGTCAGAATCAACACACACTTGAAGACTGTCAACTGTAAGTGATCATGAAAGTGTTCAGAGGCAACGATATTTTTGAATCTGGAAAGTAGGGGCGGTCTAAAGCCAAACTTTACGAGGCCTTAATTTTTTTAAAAAAAAATTATTTATTTATTTGAAGTCTACTTTTTTAACGTTTCTTAGATACAAAGTTATTAATAATTTTCTTACAACCAATAACTCATAATAAATCTTTCTTAATTGGTAATACACCTAATCCATCAACCTTTCTTGAGACACTGTTGATCTTAGGTAAGATT